AAGTATATGTGAACTGCTGTATGAAAAGTGAATTTACTCTGTAAATCTTCACCCAAATCAAAATAAAATAAAAAAAAAAAGAAATGTTGTTATGTGCCATCGAGTTGGACCCAACTCATAGCGACCCTTCCTTGGGTTTCCGAGGCAGTATCACTACGGAAGTAGATTGCCCCATCTTTAAAAAAAAAAAAAAAATTAAAACAGACTATCAGAGGATATGTTCAAAAACAACATTTGAGCATATTTCCCATGGTAGGGATGAATACTGTGGCAGTGGGTAGGTGGTCTGGTGGTTGTATGTATGTTTGTACATGGATACATACTGTGGCTGGGGCCAGAGAACTTAAACAGCCCCGTGTAACAAAATGCCCAGTGCTGCAGAGACACTGGCTCATCCCAGTAAAGAGTCATTCCTTTTCCATGACTTAAATGAGACATAAGGAGCCAGGGAGTAGTTATTCCCTTTCTCGATTCCAGGAGGGTCTTTGATGTCACTTCCTAATTTGTCAATGAGATTGTATAGCTGCCGGAAGTAGGTACCCCACTCTGGTGACACTTGCCACATCTTTTAGACTGAGACTTAAAAAAAAAAAAAAAAAGCCTGGAAGATTAAACTATTTATGTGTGTGTGTGTACATATACATATCATACCCACCAGCCACTCCTCGGAAGGAATATTGGGCAATCTACTTCCGTAGTGATGTTGTTGTTACGTGCCGTCGAGTCAGATCTAACTCCACGGCACAAAACAACAACAAAAAATAATAATAATGAAAAAAAACAGTTGTCATGGAGTAGATTCTGACTCATGAGAACGCCATATGTGTCAGAATAGAGCTGTGCTCCATAGAGTTTTCAGTGGCTGATTTTTCTGAAGTAGATTGCCAGGACTTTCTTCCGAGGAGCCTCTGGGTATACTCGGACTACCAGCCTTTGGGTTTGCAGCCAAGTGTATTTACCATTCACAACACCTAGGAACTCCATAATATTAATAGTTTACATTTATTTGAGCACTGCCCTAAGCACTCACTGTGGCTTGTCTCATTCAACCCTCCCTGCAGCCTTATGAGGCAGACACTCTTGTTATCCACATTTTACAGATTAGGGAACTGAGGTGCAGCAAAGAGAAGTGACTTGCCCAAGGTCACACCACTAGAGAATGACTGAACCAAGATTTGAGCCCAGGAAGTCTGGCCCCAGAGCTTGTGTTCTTAGCTCCTAGGCTACCCTGCCTCTCTGGGTGGAGAGTTTTATTCATGGCAGCTGGTTCTGGAGTTGGGTGGGATTGTAGTACTTCAGAACTATGTATCACTCTCAAGGGCTTGAGGACACCCACTATTGTCTTAGAGGAAGGGGAATAGGGTCATTTTGGTTGTGATAGCATTTGCCTCTGCTGTTGACTAGTTGGTGCACCCATGTGTATTACTATGGTGTGCTATCTCTTATTTTTTATTTAAGGCAAATGCATACACCAGGCTTAGAGACCATATTAAAACTACCCAGACAGGTCTGGCAAGTACTGGCTGAGAAATGCTAACCACTTGAGGTTCAGAGTGAGCCAGGAGCTGAACAAGCTAGGGATGTACATTTTCTCTTTTTTAATCTCAAGGGTGATGAGGTCTATGATGTGTATGAACTGTCAAGTAACTTCTTCCTGTGTGCCTGTATTTGCTGAGCATGGTTCCTGGCCCCCTCTCTACATGGGCTGTAGGAAGCGGAAGCTGGCGTTTGCAGAGTCTGAAGGACGCAGCCGTGGGAGGGGTGTCTATGCATGGAGTGTGGTAGATTTCTGGATTCTTTTTATAACTTGTTCTTGGTGATTTATCAGAAAGCTTGCTCCTGTTTAAGTGGAGCGTAATAACTCCATAAGATAAGTTGTACCAGCAGTGGGACTACAGGCATACCTCCTTGTATTATGCTTTGCAGTATTGCATTTTTTTACAAATTGAAGATTTGCTGCAATCCTGTGTCAAGCAAGTATGTCAGCACCATTTTGTCAACAGCATGTACTCACTTCGTGACTCTGTGTTACATTTTCATAATGTATTTCACACTTTTTTACAGTGCTGTTGCACAGACAATAGACCACAGTATAGTGTAAACATAACTTTTATATGCACTGAGAAACCAACAAATTTTTGTGACTTGCTTTATTGCAGTGTTCACTTTATTGAAATGGTCTGAAACTGAACCTGCAATACCTCTGTGTCACGCCTGTAGTAGGAAGAAGAGAAGATGCTGTCTGCTTGCTTACCTCTCCCCTCTGTCATGTCCTCACCCCTTGTCTTCCCCCTGCCATGAAGCCTCCTTCTCTAATCCCAGCCATGCAGTTACTTACTCTTTCCTTGGAGCTCCAACAGCACCACACTAAACCAAACCAAACCCACTGCCATTGAGTCACCTCCAACTCATGGTGACCCCATATGACAGAGCACTGCTTCATAAGGTTTCCAAGCCTATGACCTTTATGAAAGCAGATTATCAGACCTTTCTTCCTTGGTGCCCTGGGTAGGTTCAGTCCACTAATCTTTAGGTTAACTCTTACTTGAAAATCACTTGTGCCACCCAGGGACCTCAGCACCACACACTGGAGCCTTAATTAAGAGCCACATTGTCCTACATGACTAGCTCTGGTGAGGCTGTGGTTGAAGCATCAGACCGTTAACCAAAGGTTGGCGGTTCAAACCCCATAGCTGCTCTGCAGGAAAAAGGTAAGATAGTCTGCTTCCATAAGGATTTATAACCTCGAAACCCCATGGGGCAGTTCTATAGGGTTGCTATGAGTCAGAATCCACTCACTAGCATGGGGTTTGGTTTTGGTTCTGGTTTTGTCCTGCATGGGTGGCAGGAAGGAAGAGGAGTGATTAGAGTGGGAGGGCCTAACTCTCCATTTTGCAGGTGAGGACCTTTGAGACACAGAAACTAAGTGTTCCTAGTTCACAGCTGTCAGTGCCGAACTGGGATGGGACCTGTATCAGAACTGTACTCCATGCTGCTGTCGTATTCAGGCTCTGCTTTCAGGCTCCCAGGAGCTCCCCTAAGCCCCACTGGGGTGGGTGGATGGTCCAGGAGGCATGCTTGGTCCTACCATGTGGCTTAGGCTGGGCAGCAGATAGCTGTGGGGTTCCCCCACATCATCAGACTCAGTCCTTGAGCCTGATGATGATAAAGTGGCTTAGTCTCCCAGATTCCTTCATCCTTCCTTTCAGTGACCAGCATACCAACCTGGAGGCCACCTGCTGCCCAGGTTGGCAGTGTGAGCTCCACCACAAGGGGGACTAGAGGTCTGCCCTGGTCAGTTGTCGTTGGTGGCCTGAGTAAGAGGTTGTAGTCAGCTCCACAGGGATCCACAGCCGTAATTGGGCAGCCCTGCCCACTGTCTCTCTCTAGGCATCAAGCTTTATGTCCTGTACCTTGGCTTTTTGTCCTTCCTCTCCGAACAGTGGGCTCTAGACTCCTGCACTGTTTGTACATTGCTCAGTATGGTGGACTCAGCCCAGCTCATATCCATTTCAGGATATCAGTTCCACACTCCAGGGCAGTATCCACTGGGCAGGGCAATATCCACACCCAGGTGTGGCCAGTGATCAGGTCCACACAATGCATAGAGCTTCCCCTCTGCTTCCAGAGGGGGCTGAGGAGCACTAGAGTAGGAATGGGCAGCACTGGCTTTGAATCTCCTTGCCAGCTGATTACTTCATGAGCCTTTGACTATGAGGAGACACCTGTGTGTTGGGGGGCCGGGGGGGGGTGGTGGCTCTGCCATCTGGCGGCATGAAGGGTTTGGGTGGGATTTGTGCGGCCCCTTGCTGTAGTGCAGTGCAGATCTCGGGGATGGAGACAGCATCCTGCCCTGCCTGAAAGCTGGTGTTCTCAGTGACAGGAATGCTAGCACACTGCCACACCAGGCATGTGGACGGGTGACATTTCCCAGGGCAGGTGGGAAGGTGGGGGTGTTTCTTGTGGGCTGTGAATGGTCCCAGTTGGGGCTTTCAGCTGTCCCCTGACTCCATGGCTGGCCTGGGAGTACTTATGAGGCTTCCTCGTGTGTGCCCCGCTCTCCATGTCACATGTTGTGTATGATGATGGGTCACATGTGACCCAAGCCAGTTGGTCACATTCCAACTGGAACAGTCCCTCTGCTCCCAGGACAAAAACAGCCCCAGGCCTTTTTCCCCTGAAAAGTTTGAGCTCCCTGTCCCAGAGAGCAAACATACAGACGGAATCAGAGTGGCAGCCTGCTGTCTCTGCAGGGCTGGCTGTGTCCAGCAGGGCAGAGGGGCCTGAAGGCCAGTCCCAGTGCCCTGCCTCCCACCCCCACCCCCGCTTCCCTGTGCTGGGGAAGGCAGGAACAGACCCTGTAGCCCACAGAGGCTAGATGAGGAAGGAAGCTGCACAGACTGGCATGGTCTGGGTTTCATGCTCTCTGCAGAGCAAGCTGTGGGGTCCTGGGTTCTCTGGGGCAATGGAACTTTTCCCTGTTGATGTTGCTCCAGCCTGTGAGAGGTAAAGCCCTGTGACCTTGATTTCTGGTGGAGGAAACAGCATTGGCCGTTCCCACAGTAGTTGGGTGGCCTTGGACAAGATGCCTGGCCTCTCTGGTCATGCATCCCACACGTGAGGCTCTCTGGTTCTGTCTACACTTGCCCAGTGGCATCCTGGGCTGCAGGTTGTGAGTTGTCTGCCATGCTGAGGCACAGGAGTTCAACTTCCCTTTCCTAAATTGCCATGGAGGGCCCAGGGCTGAGCAGGTGGCAACACAGAGCCCAGCAGAGCTTTCCTAGTGACCTCTGGCTCTCCTTTTTGCAGCTGGAGGAGGCTGAGCATTTTGCCATCATGGTGACTGACCTTGGCGAGGAAGCTGGGGAATTCCTCTCCAAAGGCTACCTGGCACTGGGTCTTACCTACAGCCTGCAGGCCACTGACGGTGAGTGCCAGGCCTTGGAGGCCTCTGCCTGGGGTGACTCTGGCTTTGAAGTCAGACTGCCTCCAAGGTCTCTCATCCCATCACACACACCCCCAGGCCTCGATCCCTCATCTGTGCCTTCCACTCTGCTGGGGTAGATGTCTTCATTGCACATGGGCACACAGGTTAGCCCCGTTTCCAGTCTTGCTCAGGCTCTTTCCCTCTCAGATGTGCCTTCTTCTCTTTCTTCCATGGATCTAGTTCACTCCACCCCTTAAGGTCCAGCCCCAGTATCTACAAAGCCCATGCCGGTCTCTGTACCTGTTGAACTCCTGTGGCATTTTCAGTCTATGCTGCACCCTCAGCCCTTGATCCCCCAGTGTCTTCACTACAGCTCACATAGGTCTGTCTGGACCCAGCACTGCTGTGAACTCTAGACTCTTTTAGTCCCCTTCAACACATAGCATAATGCTGGGTGCATAGTAGGTGTTTCATCAGCACTTGTGGTTGACTGATACCAGAACCTGGTGTTCTCTTCCAAGCCCCACCAGCCCCCCTGTGTCTCCTGCATCCATCAGGCAGCCTCCCACCTACTTTTGTATCCTTGTGGCGTGAGGGAGAGGGAGTGATGGGCCCCCTCTCAGAGCAAACCTGGAATAGGAAGCTGGCCCTACCCACATTTCCCCATTGCCAACCCCAGGAAGCAGAGCTGTATGTACGGGGGCTACTCTGCACTGGGCCTCAGAGGCCCTGCACAGCAAGCATTAACAAAGGCTACTCAGTGTATGGAGCAGGGAGGAAGAGGTTTGAGTGATCTGGGTGCAGTGCCAGCAGTCTGTTCTTTAGCAGTGGGCATGGTTTCTTCAGGATATTGCTGAACCCCTCACTCTGTGCAAACCCTGGAGAGGGAAAACCTGGGTGTCCACACATTGGTTAAGTGAAGGAGACATTAGTCCCTTTGTCAAAACCTCTCTTTGATCAAAAGACTCTCTGCCTTATGTCTGAGAGGTGCTGTCCCAGCCCTGCCCCCAAGCAGTGACTCAGCCTGCTGCGTGTTAGAAGTAGGGCTGTGTTATAAGCTGGGAGATCTCGCAAGCATCAGTATCTGGGCCCCACCAGCAGGAAGTTTGGTCTGGTCTGGGGTAAGCCTGGACAGCAGTCATTTAAAAAACTTTCCTACGTGGTTCAGCGGGCAGCCTGGTTTGTGTTGAAGCAAGGAGCCTCGTGAGAAAAGAGAACACGTGGCCAAGATGAAGGTGGCAGTCTCTCTCAAGGCTTGGGCCTCCTGAGGGTAACTCTCTTGTCACAGAATGCTTGTGGGCCCAGGTTGCAAAGAAGGTAGAGGGTAGAAGGAACGGGTCTGCCCAGAAACATGTTAGAAGACTGGGCTGGACAGGAGCCCCAGACCTCCCTCAGTAACCAAGATGGTTACAGTCAGAGCTGCTTAGGTGCAAGCATTTGCCAGACAGGGTCCCGATGGGCCTCTCCCCACAGGGCTTGCGTGCTCTGACTGGAGTGCAGGGGGAGGGCTGGGGTAGCACCCCTCAGTAACCCTCATGACTGCGTTCCATCCTGTCTCCTGCAGCAACCCTGAAATCCAAGCAAGATGAATTGCACAGGAAAGCTCTACAGACACTGGAGAGGTGAGGAGATCTGGGCTCATGCAGAGGCCTCCCTTTTGAATTTGGTGGCATAAGGTATTACATTCACATGCTCAATCTCATTGGACCCACTGGCACAGAGCAGATGTTACTGTCTCCATTTTACTAATGAGGAAAGTGAGGCTCTGGGAAGTCACATAAGGAGCAAAGACAGGCCTTTACCATTGGGCAGGCAGGCTTGAGACCTGGTGCAGGCTCTAGACCATCTGCCTTCAGCACTGGTGGAGCACCCACCCTCTGCTAACACCCGGGCACAGTCCCTGCTTTCCCAGACTCAGGGCTCTAAAATGGCAATAATGACCTTTATTTATCTCATGGAACTGTTAATGTGATAATTGCATGAGATAAAGTAGGAAAAGCACCTTGCACAGTGCCCTGCACATAACAGCATCTCAAAAAATAGCCTTTGCTTCCCTCCAGTCTCTCCCAGCCCAGACATCACTCTCCAATCCCAAGCCCTTACAGAGGTGTCCTGGCAGGTCAGGGTCAGGGAGAGGGCTGAAAAGTCCCTTGTCCAACAACTGCCTCCCTCAGATCTACCCGTTGGTCAGCCTGATGCTTACCAGCTGTGTGATCTCCCTCCCTCTCCTTCCTCTGCCTCACCATGTCCTCTCTGGGCCCCTCAGTGTGCCTGCCCTCCTCAAGCACTGAGGCGGAGGCATTGCTGGGTAACCACCTAGCCTGGGCTCCTTGTACCACCTTGCTTGGAGCACGGGACACATCCCTCCTCTGCCTGACTGGCTCTGCCTCTGGCTTCCTTCGTTGGCTCTCAGGCTTCTGAGAAAATTCCACTCTGGGCCAAGTTTCCACCCCTCAAACCCAGAGGTGAGAAGAATCCAATTCTGGCTGGCCCCGTCTGTGCTCCTGAGGTCTTCCCAAGCACATCACCCTCAAGGAGGTGTTCTATCTTGGGAGGAATGGGGACTATAGTGAGGCAGGCTATTGCAGGCTGCAGGATGCACAGAGGAGAGCGGTTGGTCCTGCACAGTAGCCTTTGTATATACACTGTGTCCCCTGCCCCTAACCCACCTGCTTCTTTCAGGTCTGCTACCCTGAGGGCTGGCCTCCCAGATGGTCCACACACACAGCCAGCATCAACCCTCTCAGAACCCTGTGGCTTTCTGCCTGAGCTATCATCTCCCACTGGGCGCTTATCCAGGGTGGGCCTGGCAGGATTCCCCCATGTATGCCCCATAGCACCTAGCACAGGGCTGGCATGCTGAAGGACTATGTCACACATGGCTGCTAGTCCCTTGGTGCCTGACATGTCACTACCTGTCTCCATATAGGGCCCAGCAGCTGGCACCTGACGACCCCCAGATCATCCTCTATGTCTCCCTGCAGCTGTCCCTCGTCCGACAGGTGAGTAGCCACTATGCTTAACCCCCAGGCTCCTGGGTGCTATTGATTGTCTCCTGGCACTGTTACCTGCCAGCTGTGTGACTGTCTGCAAGTGACTTAATCTCTCTGAGCCTCTATTTACTTAATCTGTAAAGTCCTCATACTGCTACTAGTGAGGATTAAGTCAGGAAGTACAGGTAAAGCCACTGGCCCATGGTGGTGCTCAAGAAGGGATTACTATATGCCCTCCCTTCCCTCATAATATCTGTCTCCTGAAAGGTTGACAAGTGACCATGACAGGCATTTGTTTGCATCCTCACCTTTTGCTGAGCTTTCCACAAGGGTTTAGGGAATAGAGCTATTGGCCCATGGAACTGTTTCTGGATGGGACTTCTCATTTACCACAATGCTGTTCTCTGACCCTGTGGACACCATTGCAGGCCTCGTCCACTGGGGTCAGATTAGGGTCTCCCACCTGCTGACCACCTCCATCCCACTGTGACCACTGTAGACCCACAACTCTAGGCAGCCTTCCTTCTTTCCCAGAACTGAGCAGCTGAGCTGTTGGACACCAGTTTGTCCATGGACTGAGACCAGATAGCTGCTCACCCAGAAATGGGCCGGGGCTCTGCCCTACCCCAGCCTCCAGCCCTTTAGTATCTCCTGTGCTTTCATGTATGCCATTCGGTTCCAGGTCAGTGCTCCATGCACATACCCAGCCTCCAAAACAAGAATTCCTAGGGGGCTTTTTCTGACTTTGACCCAGTGAGTTCTGGCCTTGACACCTTCCACCTGCACTTCCTAGGAAATGGGCTGAGCCCAGACTGTTGGAGCGAAGCCAACAGAGCTCTCCATCGACTATGGTCAGATGAAGGGTAGCATGGCTGGTGTGGGTGGCTGCTGTATCCCCAACACTGGCCCATGCGGCCTTAGCCATCTGATGAGATAGACAGCCTTAGCCTCATCAGAGACCTGAGGGAACTGAGGCTCTGGTGAACTCAGTTAACTTATACAGGTTTACACAAAGTCCATCTTTCCCCAGTGAGGAAAAAAACACCTCAGTCAGCTTTATGTTCCCCAAGACCTGGCCCATTTGGAGATGGGATAGATGGAGCCTTGTTCACCAGCCAGGAGGTTGGCCTGTGTCTGGTCAGTGTCAGCTTTTAGCCTCTTGTTTCATCTTCAGTACACTGAGCTGTATCCTCTGACTCCAGGATTTGGGCCCTCTGTGTAGTTGTCTGCATCATTTCCCCTCAAGCCCTGCCTTTGGCCTGGCTCTTCTCGTTGCACAGTTATTTTCATTGCTGGGCCTCTTCCCCCTCACCCCACACCGAAACCCTTGCCCCTGTGCCTGTGTCTGTCCTATTCTGTTTCTGAGTCACTCTGCCTCCCACTCAGGGTCTATCTCAGCCAGTTTTCTCCCCACTGGCCCTTTGTCATTTGCTGCTTCTCTCCCTTTCTCACACCTGCCTGAATCACAGTCCCTCTTCCCCACCCCTCCTTTGTCCCCAGGCTGCCCCCGCCTGTCCCTCCCCCATTTCTCACTGTGCCCACCCACCCGGCGCTCCTGACTTCTAGATCCTGGTCATCATTGGACCAGGCTCTTTGTGCCTCTCCCCTTCTAACTCCAGAATGCATTCTGCTCAGGTGCTCTCAGGAGGATGGAGTCCCTGAGACTGCTTCATTTCTAGTCCTCTGTAAAAGAGCCAATGCTTTTCTTGACAATCAAGTGAATGACAAATCTTTGGTGATACATTTTTAAATATCTTTAATTATCTCTGATGAATGGCATCCATCCCCCCAGGGGATGGTTGGCCAGGCCAGTGGAGCCTGGTGCCTGGTTTCCTTGGGGACCTCAAGTCTTGGCAGCCTCAGGGGATAAAGGGCCCCTGCATGGACTCTAATCCAGGCCTGCGTGGTCTCTGTGGCCTTCCAGCCCAGTCCTTCCTAGAGCATGTCTGGCTGCCCTGAGCGGTGATGGCCCAGAAGAATGGGGTCCATCCTGGCCAAGTCACCAGAGCCTGATCCCTGTAGGAGAACTCTGGACCTGGCACTAGGTGTACTTGGGAGAGAATGAAGAGAATTTTGTACCAGGAGTGAGGGGCTGTGTCCCACAGGTCACACAGGACTACTTAATGAGCTATGGCACTGACAGAAATGTCTAGCCTGTCATTGAAGAAGAGCTTGACATTGGTGACTGCCAAATTTTTTTTCCTTAATGTTCCCCTGAATGCTGCCAGCATACCCTCTTACGTGTGCCATAGGCTGGGCCACACAGAGTGGGGCAGCAACCCCCCTGGCTGAGCAGTAGGTAGGTGGTGATGTTAAAGGGTAGGATCAGCAGTGAGAAGAGAAGGGTGTCTGGGGTCATCTTGGGACCCATGGGGTGTGGATATTGTGCCAAGAGTGGTGTCTCCAGGAAGGAATTATTGAACTATACTCACTTTTCGGACCCACCTGTGAGCAGGGGCCCAGTGTTGCAAGGTGGTGGCTGATTGGGGCAGGTGTGTGGTTTTAACCTGAAACACCCTCCCTAGGGGATGTGGCTAGGGAGTTGACAGACCCACTGACCCTGTTCCTTCCTGAAGACTGGGCTCACAGCCATGAATGCGCATCCTCAACATCCTCAGGGGCTCTTTCCGGTGGGATGCTGGGGTCCCACCAGGCAGGGATGACTGGAGCAGCGCAAGGTTCCCTCTCTGCTGAGCCTACCCCTTGGCTCACTGACCGTGCTCTCTGGAGCAGCAGGGGCTGCCCTCTTTCATGTAGAGCTCTGAGAAAGAAGGCAGATAACCCAAACCCCTGAAAGCTGAGACTCATAGTGGCCTCTGGTCTCTCCCCACTGCTGTGAACTCTGCCCATACCTACTAGAATGGCTTGCCCAGGCCACACCCAGGAAGACCCCTGCATTGGCTTCTCATTGCCTCACAACCAGACCCTTCCCATGCAGCTTTCCTGGCCCCATCCAACTGTCAAGTATTTGAATGTGGGCAGGCCCCGCACTGTGTTCATGTGAGAGGCCTCATCTCTGGGCACCGTATCTCTACATGTCTCTCTGTCCCTGGTCAGGATGCACCCCTTGCCTGGAGCAACCCCCCTTTTGTTACTCCCTGCTCTCAGGGTAAGATTATTAACCATAGCAGCAGAAATCCAGGACACCATTTGCACTCACAGCCTTGGTGGCCACTCCCTGCAGCTTACACTCCTCCAACTTAGGAAATGCTTCCTAGTGTGCACTCAAGTCCTTTGTGCTGCAAGTAAACCTGCCCTTCTCTGTTCCTGAGTGGGGATAACAGCAGCTCCCTGGGCCTGAATTGGGATGGCAAACTCCCTCCTTGCCATGATAATTGGGTTGGGGGATGTGGGCCTTGGGCTGTATCAGAGCTTCGTCCCATCATGCCCCCAGTCCACAGGGTGTCACTTAAATTGAGTCTGATGTGCCCTCCTTGTCTGGACCTGCCGCCAAAGTCCTGGGGCGGGGAGGCGGTGTGTGCTTTGCAACAAAGCTCAGTCACTGAGCTGAGGGATGTCTTTGGCAGATCTCCAGTGCCATAGAGCAGCTGCAGGAGGCCCTCAAAGTGTGCCGGGATGATGCCAACGCCCTCCACCTGCTGGCACTCCTCTTCTCTGCCCAGAAGCACTACCAACATGCTCTGGACGTCATCAACATGGCCATCACTGAGTACCCTGAGAACTTCAAGTGAGCAGGGCCCTGTAGACACGCTGGGCTGGGTGGCTGGATGTTATGCACATTCTGCCCTGCCGTGAGCATGTCCTTGGCTAGAGAGGCAGGGTGGAGGGACTATAGGATTGCAGAATGGCTCCATGTTCTGTATCAGGAGGTACCAAGTGATGGTCTCTGTGCTCCTATGTGCTCCGTGGGGGGCTGTTTGGATAGCAGAGAAAAGTGTACTCAAATATATGGCTCGGGTTGCTTCTACTGTGCCCTGGGATCAGCATTTGAGCCTCATGAACACATCATCTAGTGCAACTTAATTGTAACATTGACACAAATAGCAATGAATGGGATTCTAAAGTAGGCTGGCCTGGCAGAGGTCAAGTGAGTCATCTCCTTACTCCCAAGCAGGCTGGCTGCTTCTGCTCTGTTGGCAGTTGGGGGAGGGAGCTGTCTCTCTGTCCTCACCCCCATTCCTACCCCTCCAGCTCACATCTCCCATGCATATCTTCTTGGAATAGGGCTCTCTGAGTTGCCCTCGTCTCTGGCTGCAGTGGGCAGGACAGGACTAGACCCTCCACATATGACCTGCTGTCACTCAGACAAGTGATGAGGAATGCCTTAGTTTCCTAATGCTGTTGTAACGGAAATACCACAGATGCCTGGCTTTAAAGAACAGAAATTTATTTTGTCACAGTTTAGGAGGTCAGACATCTGAATTCAGGGGACGCTCTCTCAGCTGTGGGGGAAGATCCTTGTCGGTTTCTGTAGCCCCGGCGTCCCTTGGTTCCTTGGCAATCTCCACTTGGCATCTGTCTTTCCTTCATTTGTGCATCCTTCTGTGTCTCATCTGCTCTTTTTCTGTCTCAGAAGTGACTACATTTGGGCCATCCCCTACACTGATATGTACTCATTGACATAACAGAGAGTAAACCTATTTGAAAACAGGACCATGTCCACAGTTATGGGGTTAGGATTCCAACTGATACTTTGAAGGGCCACAATTCAGTCCATAACAGGGAACAAGAGCCATGCTGGGGCAATTGAGGCAAGAGGTGTGTTACTCTGTGAGGAGGAAATAGGGGGTGGTTGTCTTGATTTCTGTCCCCTTCCCCTCAGGAGCAGGTCACTGGGTGTAACAGGCCCTTTTTCTCTGACTTCTGCGATCCTAGGATGAGGACCCCTCAGCACCCTCTCCCCCACCCTATTCCTCCTTGGAGTCTGAGGGAAGCCCACTTAGAATCAGCCAGAGGCCTCCCTGCTTTAGAAAATGAGGAAGAAACCAGAGTCTTAGTTTTCCTGAGAGCTGACAGTCTGGTGATGTTAAACAAGTGTGTCAAGAATTAAGGAAAATTAGGGTACTTCTGCTGTGATGGGTGATGAAGGGAGGCTGGAATTGTCCTAGTCCAAGAAGTTTCCTTCCGTTGGGAACCATCCAACTCTGCCCATCCTTGGCCCACCACAGAGAGAGCTTACCATGGTTTTGAGTCAGGCTTTCCTGTGCCCTTGGCCTCCTTCAGAGAACACTCTCATTGTTTTTTTATGCATACATATATAATTAATGTTACTTGTTGTTGTGAGTATACACTACAAAACATACACCAAGTCAGCAGTCTCTGTGTGTATGATTCAGTGACACTGATTATATTCTTCAAGTTGTGCAACCATTCTCCCCCTCCTTTCCTGAGTTGTTCCTCCTGCATTAACACACACTCACTGTCCCCTAAGGGTCCTATCCTATATTTCGAATTGTTGTTGTCAATTTGATCTTGTATAGATAGACCTTGAACACAGCATCAGGATTGGAGGGAGACTTATTAACAACCTGGGATATGCAGATGACACAGCCTTGCTTGCTGAAAGTGTAAATGACTTGAAGTACTTACTGATGAAGATTAAAGACTACAGTCTGCAGTATGGATTACATGTCGACATAAAGGACACAAAAATCCTCATAACTGGACCAGTAACAACCTCATGATAAATGGAGAAAAGATTGAAGTTGTCAATGATTTCATATTACTTGGATCCACAGTCAACACCCATGGAAGCAGCAGTCAAGACATCAGACATCATGTTGCACTGGGCAAATCTGCTGCAAAAGACCTCTTGTGATAGTTGGAGCTGCATGTCAACTTGGCTGGACCATAATTTTGTGTGGTTTAAGCAGTTGTGATGTGGGTTATTCCCACGGTGGGATCATATGTATATGTTTTCAGCAGCCAATCCATTGAAAAGGAGTTTCCCTAGGGTTGTGGCCTGCTTCCAATATATTTATGGACATCCTAGGAAAAGAGACACTCTTCTGTGGATCAGGATCCTGTTGTGCTGCCTACAGCTGTCTGTGAGTGAACAATCCACCATTCAGCCTGGAGATCTTGGATTCATCATTTGTTGGAGTCAACAGCTGGTATAGTGCCTGCCAACCTTGAGCTTATCAGCCCCTGCAGCTGCATGAGTCAGCAGAAGCCTCCAGCTTGACGTTTGATCCAAGGACTTGTCTGAAAGTACCATGGACTGCTAAAAGAACTAACAGATCTGTCCTGGAGGAAGTGCAGCCAGAATGCTCCTTGGAAGCAAGAATGGCCAGACTTCGTCTCACCTATTTTGGTCATGTTGTAAGGAGGGACCATTCCCTGGAGAAGGATGTCATGCTTGGTAGGGTGGAGGGTCGACGAAAGAGGGGGAGGCCTTCAACGAGATGGATTGATACGGTGGCTGCGATGATGAGCTCAAGTATAGCAGGGATTGTGGGGTTGGCGCAGGATAGGGCAGTGTTTCGTTCTGCTGTGCATGGGGTCGCTATGAGTCGGAAACGACTCGACGGCACTTAACAACAACAACAACAACAGAGACCCCATCCTAACACAGTGCTGAAGATCAAAGATGTCTCTTTGAAGACTAAGGCGCCCCTAACTCAAGCCGTGGTATTTTCAGTTGCTTCATATGCATGTTGTGGTAGCTAATGTTATGTGTCAACTTGGCTGGGCCTGGTTTTGAGTGGCTGGGCAGTTGGATGTAGTTTTTCCCCATGGTAAGATTGGTAATCAACTCCATGGTAGATTCTACTGGAGCAGATGAGTTGCTGCTTTAGGGATGTGGTCTGCTTCCAGTAAGAAGCAACTTTGAGGAAGGTCTCCAGCTTATGGTATGCTTGAATCCCGCCTGTAGCTGAGTTGTTTTTCAGTAGCTTGCCGTGGTGTCTGCTGATCTTAGGACTCTTAATGGACTTGAATCAGTGGCCTACCATGTGGTTTGATAATAGCAGGACTGTGCCTTTTCACTTATCAACATTGGGTTTTTCAATCTCAGCAGCCAGCAGCTGCCTGAGTGAAGAGATGCCTCTAGCTTCAGTGGGCCAGGAGCTGGAGGCAGAGCTGAAGCCCAAGGTTGAAGGGCTTTCACCCAGCCCATAGATCTGGCACTTTGCACTCAGACTTCTAGTCTCCAAAACTGTAAGAGAATAAACTATTTGTTCAAGCCACCCATTTGTGGTATCTTTTGTTAGAGCAGCACTAGGTAACCAACCAAAACACGTGAAAGCTGGACAGTGAATAAGGAACACCAAAGAAGAGTTGATGCTTTTGAGTTGTGATGTTGGTGAAGATTACAGAAAGTACCATAGACTACCAGAAGAATGAACAAATATGTTCTGGAAGAAGTGCAACCTGAATGCTCCTTGCAAGCAAGAATGGCCAGACTTGGTCTCATCTACTTTGGTCATGTTGCCAGAAGGGACCATTCCTTGGAGAAAGATACCATGCTTGGTAAAGTGGAGGGTCAGCGAAAAAGGAGAAGACCCTCCACAAGATGGATCGACACAGTGGCTGTGATGATGGGTTCAAGTACAGCAAGGATTGTGAGACCAGCGCATGACTGGGCAGTGTTTTGTTTGGTTGTATGTAGGGTTGCTATGAGTTAGAGCCAACTTGACGGCACCTAACAACAACAGATAGATCTTAAGAGCACAATGCTCAAGGCAGACATTCTTTACCAGTTAAGCTAAACTATTTTTTGGTTTTAAGAAGGCTTCAGGGGATATTTTTAAAGGTTTAAAGATTATCTCAGACCAATAAATTTATGCAACCTCCACAGCTCCAGAAAATCTGGGTTCCATGAGAATTTAAAATTCTGTTTTGCATTTCCCTCTTTTTGATCAGGATTCTTCTGTAGAATCTTTGATTAACATATTCCATGATGGTAATTGGCACCATCTAGTTCTGGTCTCATGGCAAAGGAGGCCGTTGTTCATGGAGACATTTAGCAACACATCCTATATCCTCCTCTTGTTCCTGACTCTCCTTTTTCCTCTGTTGCTCTAGGTGAATAGAGACCAAGAGTACCTCGACTGGCCAGTTGCAAGTTTTTAGGGCCCCAGACACTGCACTGTGAACTAGGAGGTAGAACAGAAGCACTGAACACTTACTAGGCCAATTAGCTGGGATGTCCCATGAAACCATGACCCTAAACCTCCAAGCCAAAGAACCAGATCCCAGGAGTTGTGCATAAGTAGCCTCGGCAGCTACTCTTTCTGTGTGTGTGTATGTCATTTTTGTAAATATATCTTCACACAGCTTTTTCCAATTCAATTTTTTACAGGTGTACAACTTATTGACAGGAATTGCAATAATTAGCTGTGCGATCCTACCTTTAATCAATGTGAGTTTTCCATCCATAAACCAAAAGTCAGTACTCCATAAGCACTGCCATTGGTTTTGATTGTGAACTTACTGGAGAGCTGAGGATGATGTGGATGGCCTCCTCCTCACCAAGGCCTCTGAAAGATACTGTGAGAGTGGCAGTGTTTTCTGGCCATACACTCCCCAGTGTGCCTCATATGAGGGGAGCTTGGGAGTGGGAGCTCCAATGAGTTAGGCTGAGGGTGGGCGTTCATCCTGTAGGACAGCCTGGTCTACAGCCCCAGGATCCTTACCCTAGTTATCTAGTAAGTACTTACTACTTTCCTGGTAGTACTTAACTTTCCAGAGCACCTTGACTCCAGACCCTGCCCACTCTCTCCCTGT